AGAGGATAATGGAGGGAGCAGAGGATATTAGAGGGGGCAGAGGATATTAGAGGGGGCAGAGGATATTAGAGGGAGCAGAGGATATTAGAGGGGGCAGAGGATATTAGAGGGGCAGGGGATATTAGAGGGTCAGAGGATAATGGAGGGAGCAGAGGATATTATAGGGAGCAGAGGATATTAGAGGGGGCAGAGGGTATTGGAGGGGAAAGAGAGGGTATTGGAGGGGACAGAGGATATTGGAGGAGACAGAGGATATTGAAGAGAGCAGATGATATTAGAGTGAGCAGGGGATATTGGTGTGGACAGAGCATATTAGAGGGGCAGAGGGTATTGGAGGGGGCAGAGGGTATTGGAGTGTGCAGAGGATATTAGAGGGGCAGAGGGTATTGGAGGGGGCAGAGGGTATTGGAGTGTGCAGAGGATATTAGAGGGGCAGAGGATATTGAAGGGAGCAGAGGATATTAGGGGGACAGAGGATAATGGAGGGAGCAGAGGATATTAGAGGGGGCAGAGGATATTGGAGGTGACAGAGGATATTGGAGGAGACAGAGGATATTGAAGGGAGCAGAGGATATTGAAGGGAGCAGAGGATATTAGAGGGACAGAGGATAATGGAGGGAGCAGAGGATATTAGAGGGGGCAGAGGATATTGAAGGGAGCAGAGGATATTAGAGGGACAGATGATATTAGAGGGGGCAGAGGGTATTAGAGGTGACAGAGGATATTAGAGGTGACAGAGGATATTAGAGGTGACAGAAGATATTGGAGGAGACAGAGGATATTGAAGGGAGCAGAGGATAATGGAGGGAGCAGAGGATAATGGAGGGAGCAGAGGATAATGGAGGGAGCAGAGGATATTAGAGGGGCAGAGGATAATGGAGGGAGCAGAGGATAATAGAGGGGCAGAGGAAAATGGAGGGAGCAGAGGATATTAGAGGAGACAGAGGATATTGAAGGGAGCAGAGGATATTAGAGTGAGCAGGGGATATTGGTGTGGGCAGAGCATATTAGAGGGGGCAGAGCATATTAGAGGGGAAGAGCATATTAGAGGGGCAGAGGGTATTGGAGAGGACAGAGGGTATTGGAGGGGACAGAGGATATTAGAGGGGGCAGAGCATATTAGAGGGGAAGAGCATATTAGAGGGGCAGAGGGTATTAGAGGGGCAGAGGGTATTAGAGGTGACAGAGGATATTGGAGGAGACAGAGGATATTGAAGGGAGCAGAGGATAATGGAGGGAGCAGAGGATATTAGAGGGGGCAGAGGGTATTGGAGGGGACAGAGGATATTGGAGGAGACAGAGGATATTGAAGGGAGCAGAGGATATAGGAGAGGGCAGAAGATATTGGTATTTTTATTCTTATTTTTTTACATCAGGCAGGAACTTCTCAAAGCAGTTGCCTATTCTATAAAGAAAGATCAGTAGTATAGTGACTCTGTGAGGTACCACTCTGTCCACCAAATATTCTGAGAAGTAACACTCTGTCTGAACTGTATTTTGCGTTACCTACATTTGGGATATTTGCAAAAACAATTACTTTAAACCCAGCACAATCATCAACCAAAACAGAACCCTGCTTACCAGTGTTTTCCAACTTAATTTTCCATACCACTTGATTTTAAGACCAATTCTTTAGAGAAATCGGAGTAAATCACATCGATAGCAACACTCCAAGATGTGCCATAAATCAACTTTTCACAGAATGTAATTTGTTTAGTTTTACATGATTTTTCCACCATAAAACAATGCTGACTCCTTTTGAAGATACAATAATTAACAATATAATATTATTTAATATAATAAATAATAATTAATATTTAGTTATCACCCCGTTCAAACCCTCCCATCCTTGCCAACTTTCTTGCATGAGGACTGTAAAGACACTCCACCGCCTTTTCTCTCATTGTAACAGAATACAACCTTAGCAGTTATATACTGCTACCATTTATGGGAATCTGCAATCCCCAAATAAGCATCATATTACATTTATTACTCTTAAGAAGGGACTTGGTCCATATTTGTACATTTAAGTTATCCTCATACTTCATGTTGCAAACTGTTATTTACCTTTATTGTCAGGATACTGACAGGGATCCAATACGCAGAGTGCGGACAGAAGGAGGTACGTATACCGGACCTTAGAATGGCCGGACTAACGTATGGACAAAACAAGAATAGTCAAAAGGTAAGCCGAGGTCGAGGGAGCCGGAGGACAGGTAAGCGAGATACAAGCCGAGTCAAAGGAGAGGAGAGGACAACAGGACAAAAGACAAGCAAGGTCAAAACCGAAAACACAAGAGAGAGAGAACGCGCTGAGTGACTAGCAAGCTAGAACCACGACAGGGCAATGAGCAGTAGTAAAGGTTTCCTTTAAATACCCTGTCACCTTAATTGAGACCACGCCCCCAAAAGGTCCAGAATAGCGGTTCCCGGCACTTCACGTAATGCTGACGTCATGACGTCGACGCTAGCCGTCGCGTCATAAAAGGGGGAGGAGCTAGCGCGGCCGGCGCGAAAACGGCCGGAATTTGCCGAAATGCTAGGGGCAAGGAGCCCCTAAACAGAGAGGATGTCTGCCCTGGAGTCAGCACCAACAGGTACCCTGACATTTATATACTAATTTGTCTATGTACAATTCAGTGGAAAACTAATACTGCTTATTAGCATGTTTTTTTGGTTTCAAGAAGTACAATTCTTATTTTACATAATTTCAACTACTTCATAACATGACAATTAACACTCAATATTTTTCTGTAGAAAAATAGAACAAGCAATATATAATTGCTAGGTAAATAGAAATTACTAATGGTAATATATAGCATGCCTCTCCAGCTGTTTGAGATTCTCACCCAATTACCTCTTCATTCCCCTAACATCTTACCAATAGCTGCTTCTCTGTTAACCCTTACAGCCATCACCTCCAGACTCCCCCGCTACCTCTTGTCTCATATGCCCATGGTATCCTTTAGATTGTAAGCTCACGGGCCATCTAGCCACGCACTTTGTATAAAAGATCTCCAATGGCTAGATCTCAGTTTACGGGCAGGGCTCTCTCTACCTCTTGTATTTGTCTGTGTATATTGTACGTTTCTCCACTAATTGTACAGCGCTGCGGAATCTGTTGGCGCTTTATAAATAGCAGTAATAATAATAATGGTATTACTGGTCGTTAGGTGGCCGGGCTTAATACTTTACAAAAGCCAGAATGATCAAAGGACAGGCCGAGGTCAAGGGATACACAAAGACAACAACACGGTGAGACAAGCCAAAGGTCAATGAGTACAGAAGTCAAGATAGTGGAGAAACAAGCCAAGATTATAATTCCAGAGTCAACAAATGCACTCTACACACAAACTCAGGCTACTAGCGACTACGACAGGGCACAAATCTCCTGGTGAACTGTGATTTTACAGCTCTAGCATCTGATATCATTTGGGCGACACCAAAACTCCATTGACCTGAGTTGATACAATGACGCCATACTTGTGTTATTTTTGGCTATTAATTGATCACGGACGTAGCGGTCCATGTCATTCTGGACGCTTGATTCAAGCGTGGTGTCACTTTTATCTGAATAATACTGTCTCTCATCAATATTGACACAGAAAAAAATGCTCAGCGACACTTGGATTGGAGAAGGATCACCTTGTATCGGTATTTATTGCTAGATTGACATGCAGCGTTACTTTGGAAAGAATTGCCCTGGGTCATTATTGATGCTGGAATGTACCACAGTGTCAAAATATGTACAGGATGGGGGGGCGTGGCCTGGACCTGAACGCGAGCGGTCGCATACTCTGCTAGGAAAACTGAGCACCAAAGACTATCCAGACCATGTCTCATAACAAAAACAAAAGAGCGTCCGATAAACAGGACAAATTACACTTTTTCGGCGCCAAACAGGGGCAAGCAAGAGGAGCAGTGATACAGGAGCAATCCCAAGATGGCGCCGAGACAGACAGCGAACAAGGAACAAACAGCGAGGTTACAGGCCTAATACTCACCACGGAGGGGCTGCAAGCTATGTTCGATGACATGGTGGCGAAATTACAAGGTACGCTGCAGCGATCATTTACAGACCTCTGCACCAATATCCACAAATTAAGCTCCCGCACCTCGGACCTAGAAAACCACATGGAGGCACACAACCGCCTAACTACTAAGGTGTAAGAAGCATGGGACAGATTGAATGACTATGAGGCCAAAATTGCAGACATGGAGGACCGCGCACGATCCACAGAGTGGCAAAACCCCAATATATACCCGCAGACACACCAAGGGACATTGTCCTGAAAATGCATTACTATCATGCCAAGGAGGCGGTTCTCAAAGCAAGCCGTGCACGCAAAGACCTACCTACAGAGTACCAGAAAATCGGAATCTTTGCAGACATCTCCGCCATGACACTCAGGAAGAGGAAGACCTTCAACACCATTACAGAACTCCTGCGAAACAACAGCATCGCGTATAGGTGGGAATACCCGACTAAGCTACTGATACAGCGAAACGGCACCCTCACGGCGATCACATCCCCGGAGGACGGCCTGCAGAGGTTAAAAGACTGGGGTCTCAATCCACCTGCCGTGCAACCGGAGACAGCTTCTAATGGACGCCAACCCTCTGCATGGAAGAAGGCGCGCAAATAGCCGCCGGACCGCAGAGCACAAAGTATTCATGGACTTTTCCTGAGCCCGCAAGTATTTCTTGTTGTCGCATTATATACAGACATACAGTATAGCCATCCTAACACATATTGTTAATGTAAATGTAGCTATCAGATTAGCCATACCAGGCCAGGGGATATACATACAAAAAGTAGCCGGGGAATGCTATAATGCATCAAATGAGTACCACTAAGGCTCGAGCTAGCACTTCCCAATAACATTACTATTATGTCTACGTACAAACCTACTTCTCATATTACTAATAGACGTGCTAATTAGCCGGCTAATGCAGGGCTGGCATTGTCCAAGTGCCAGCCCTGCTGTGTGCCTGCGGACCGGGGAGGGAAATCAGTGATCTCCCTCCCCGGTCCGCAGGCACATTTCTGACAGCCGGCAGGGGAGGGAGTGAGAGAGGACCTGGGAGCTCTTACCAGCAGCTCCTCCGGGTCCTCCTCTCGCGAGATTTTAAGCGTTGCCGCGGTTACCACGGCAATGCTCCAAATATCGGAGAGTGAACTCTAGCCTGGGAGCGCGGGCTAGACTTCACTCCACACTGGACCACCAGGGAATCACCATGCAAAACAGATATATGTAGCGCTTATTTTCAAAAGGAAAAAGATAAATCACCTTATAGACTAATTGTATGTAAGTTGTCTCAACGAATACACCAACTGGATATCTTGTGCAATTTTGTAATAACAAGTAGATCAAGTGGATATCTGTAGAGGATAATTTAACATAGTGCAGATCACACAATATTCAATATAAAAACAAAATTATAATTGTTCACACTCACAAACAAGGAGCTGTGGGCCCAGCTCCAGTCTATTGCGCTTTTGGATCCGTTTAAGCGATCCACCCCTATTGCCGAGTTTTTCTTATTCTGCAAAATAAGGGGCACAACCAATTGCGCTGTATTGCTTGAATATATATATAGTTGGTGCAATAAATTCTTAAAATTTAATACTCACAAGCATGGAGTCATAAGTGTATGACTCAATTAGCCCACGTGTGCAGATTAAAGGCTGCACTCCTTTCTTTGTTAAAAAATGTATCTGGAACCCAAATTCATTAAAAAATCAAAAAACAACAATTTATTGAATATATATACAAATATAAATTGCCTTTATAGGCTAAAAACCGGTACGCGTTTCGCCGATGTAATTTGGCTTTCCTGGCTAATCATGGCAGCATCACTTATGGGTAGCTCCTCCCTTAGCAGTCACAGGACAGGAATTAATTAGATTAATTAATCAGACTGATAGGTATAAGGAGTCCCTCCTCCCCCTACACCTCAGTCTTTTTTCCTGTCCTTAGCAAGTTCTACAGGACTTTTTACATTTTGTTTTATGGCCACCTTCCTGCGTTTGTCGTGGGTTCGTTCCAAATGAAGTTCAGCCTCTCTTCATTTGAAGGACCCAGTAAACAGCCTGCATGAGCAGGACTAACTGGGTCAGGTTCAGTGTAAGTACTGAACTGCAGCGTGGGAAGTAAGTGTTTGAGGGAGACACTGTTTCTGTTTATTTGTGGGGTTGGTTAGCCTTAAAAATTCCCCCTGTTTTCAGCCTGCCCCTACTAATTGGGGTTATATATCCCCCCCCATACCTTGTTGGCAGTATTTGAATCCATGCTTAGGGGTCTTGTCCTTTAGGATCTGTTTCTTGCCTCTTGTTTGGTGCCTTCCCTGCTCCCTGGCTCTGTTCCAGCCTCTGATGGGTTAATGTGAGGCTGTGCAGGATTCCCTGCTCCCTGGGGCTCCCTGTGTGCCCGGGCATTGGGGGCTGGAACGCATTATGCGTTCCAGCCGACTGTTTGTTGCTCGCAGCCGGTTCCGGCGAAACCGGAAGTAATTTGCATGCCGGTCGCGAGCGTTTGGAACGCATAGCGTGCGTTCCAGCGCTCTGCGCATGCGCGAACCGGGCAATCAGCTGTTCGCTGCCCGGACCTTTTTTAAAGCATCTAATGCAGCTGCCTTGGCGCTATATCTGCTAGCCTTATGTTGGTTTACCCCTGGGGAAAGCATTGGTGTCCAGTTTGTGCCCAGCTACTCCTATCTGCTGCCTGGCTGCTTAGTGGATGTTCTGCTCTTTAAGGTAGGATTGCTGTTTTTACTACTTATTGGAAGTATTGCTTTGTCAGTTTGTCTATTTATCCCGTTGGGGAATTAGGTCTTGGATTTTCCTTTGGTTCTTCTTTATAGTATGGATTCTCCCTCTGCCTCTGCAAGATCCCTCTCTAGAAAACATAGGTGAGCCATTTCTTAATTTTATTGGGGGGGGTGTTGTTAAAAGAGTGCCATACTGAGCCTGTAATATATGTCATATATGGCTTCATTCCAGCCCCAGCATTCATTTGGATTCTCCAGCGAGAAAATCACGGGAAAATAAATGCATTAATTGTTCTTCGCCTGCTTGTTGCTTGTTGGAAGTCGCTGGAATGCTTGTTGGAAGTCGCTGATGCCCCCAGTAGGAGCTCTCCACAAGACGACCTTAAGCTCTGGATTTCTCAGGCTATTGCTGAGGGCTTTATGGCTACCACGGGATCTAGTGGTCCAAGTAAGAGACGCAGAGCGGAACCTCAGTCTTCCAGCTCTGATGAGGACCCTGATGTCTGGGAGGTATCAGATGAAGGTGAGGAGGAAGCTGAATATGCCTCCACGTCTCTTGACTCCAGGTCTATGGATAGACTTATTACCCTTCTCAGAGACACGCTTAGTCTCACTGAAGAAAGATCTGAATTGAAGGAGGCTGACAGGTTTTTTGAGGACCTATAGCCTAACAGACCTACTTTCCCGGTGCATGCGCCAATCAGGGATATGATCCTTCAGGAATGGAATAAGCCTGAAAAGAAGTCCACCTTAAAAAATAAGTTTGCGAGGGTTTATCCGTACTCTACAGTGGATTGCTGCCTGTGGAACTCAGTTCCTAAAATTGATGCTGCAGTGATCCATATGGCTAAGAAAACTACACTGCCTATTGACTCCATGGCATATCTCAGGGAGCCTATGGAGAAGCGTATGGATGGAGACCTGATTAAAGACTACTTGGCCCTAGTGTCCGCCCTTCATCCGGCAGTGGCACTGACGACTCTCTCCAGAGCCTTGAAAGTGTGGCTCGCTAATCTGAAGGACGACATTGATCAGGGTGTCCGTAGGGAACATCTGTTGGAAAGCTTCAAGGACTTTAGTCTAGCCACAGAATTCTGTTCAGAGGCCTCCCTGGACATCACTCGCATGATTGCTAAAAGCATGGCCCTGTCTGTGGCTTCTAGAAGGGCCTTGTGGCTTCATTCGTGGGGTGCTGACTATGCTTCTAAGGCTTCCCTGTGTGCACTTCCGTTCCGAGGGGATCTCCTTTTTGGGAAGATTCTGGAAGATGCTATTCAAAAAGCTGCTGATGGGGAAAAAGGCGTTTACCTCAAGCTGGCAGGAAGAGTTTTTCCCTCCTCCTGGAAGACCAAGCGCTTCAAGGATTGGTCCTTTCGGGACAGCAGGAGCTATAAACCAGGAAGGGAGTTTTCCAGGAATTATTCATGGAAATCCTATTCGCACTCATCTTCCAATAAGGCTTCCAGAGGAAGGGGTGCTAGAACCTCAGGGAAGACCTTCTGAAGGTCCCCAGGCCGAAGTTCTTCTACCCCATATGGGCCAGCAATATTTCAGACCTATGGGTCACTTCCATCGTAAAAGAAGGTTACAGAATAGAATTCTCATCTTACCCGAAAACTGCATTCTTCAGAAGATCAAAGGTGCAGGTAGGCATCAAACGAAGGGCCATGAGGTCCTGCATTTCTGTACTCCTGGAACAAAAAGTGGTGAAGAAGTTCCAAAACAGGAATGGTTCCAGGGAATTTACTCCACGGTCTTCTTGGCCCCAAAACCACAGGGAAAGTGGCGTCTCATCTTGAATTTGAAAGGCGTAAGGACGTTCAAAATGGAATCCTTGAGGACCATCTTGAAGTGTGTCAAAAAGGAGACTGGATGACCTCAATAGACTTAAGGGACGCCTACTATCAATCTTGGGTCCATCTCAAGGAATTGTAGCTCAACATACGTCGGTGGCAATGTCCATTCTTCAAGACCATGGTTGGCTCCTGAACGTGGGAAAGAGCTCCCTCGTTCCTGCACAAACTATCGTTTTCCTGGGTACGGTAGTGAATACCGTGTCTGCACATGTGTTCCTGTCTCCAGAAAGGGTCACGAAGATCAGAGACAAAGTAAGGAAGCTGCAAGTTCTCGAAACTGCACCTGCAAGAGAAGTCATGAGTCTCCTGGGTTCCTTGACTTCAACAATAGGCTTGGTGAAGTGGGCCCAGTGGAAGTTCCGTCCGGCCCAGAACTGCTTCCTTCCCCAGTTCAACAGAGTGGAAGCGGATTGGGAACCGATGATATCTCTTCCCCTTCCCGTAAGGAAAGGCTTAAACTGGTGGAAGAGCGAGAGGAATTTGACAACAGGCTTCCCGTTGGAAGTCCCCCTTGGAAGGTTATTACAACAGATGCCAGTTCTT